CCCTGGCCCTGGGAAGCCTGGGGGTCACACTTCTGCAGGGGTGACTGTGAATGGGTGTCACTAGGATTGTTGGAGGGGCGAGGAGAGGGCTGGGATGCTGGCCGAGGCCTGTGGGCACTTGGCTCTTCCCCACTCTGATCGAACTCCAGGCCTCTTCCCCTAACGGTGAGTTTCCCACCCAGGATTATATCAGCCTCTTCCCCTTGGATGACATGCAGCCGTCAAAGCTGATGCGGCTCCTGAGCTCCAATGAGGATGATGCCAACATCCTTTCCAGTCCTGGTGAGTGTGTGGGCAGGGCCGGGGGCCTCCTTCCTTTCCTGAGCCCTTCTGCACGGTCCCCAGCTGCAGGCTGGTCAGAGGGCCACAGTCTGTCCATTCTGTCCCCGACTGGCTGCTGCCATTTCTGGCCCCCAGAGAGACCAAGGGTTGCTGTGGGTTTCTCCCTAAGAATTGAAGCTCTTCTGCGGGGATCCAGTCCCAGGGGCCACTCTTGTCTCTTCCCCACCCATTACCACAAGCTGGGATGACAAGCTACCCAAGTGAGTTCACTGCCCGGGGCACAGTCAGTGCCGTTGACTCACCAGCTCTGGTCTGTCCTTCCCCTGAAACAGGCCCTGAGGCCTAGAGCAGGCCTGGGCTGGGGCATGGGGCTGCTCCCCACTCTTCCTGCCTAAAGAGCACCCCTCCCCCACTCAGCTTCCTAGATGGTGTTACCTCTGCCTGCCTGGGGCTCCTTCTGCAGCACTTAAATGTTCCTTTCTAGAGATTTCTCCTGAGCCTGGAAATGGCTCTGATGCCCTTTAGGGAATCAACTCTGCACTTGAGCAGAGAATAGGTGCTCAGTCTGCCATCTATAAACTGTGGCCTATGACCTTTGACTAGTCACTTAGCATTTCTGAGTCTTGGTTTTCTTTTGTTTTTTTGCTAATCCTCACTTGATATTTTTCCATGGATTTTTAGATAGAGTGAAAGGGAGGGAGGGGGAGAGAGAGAGAAACATTGATGTGAGAGAAACACATCGATTGGTTTCCTCCCACACGACCCCAACTGGGGCCGGGGATCACCTGCAACCCAGGTACTTGCTCTTGACCAGAAATTGAACCCGCGACCCTTTGGTCTGCAGGCTTATGCTCTAACCGCTAAGTGAAATTGGCTAGGGCTGAGTCTTGGTTTCCGTGTACAGCCCACCGATAGACACCTGACACCCGGTGGTGCTCACCAATGTCAGTCCTTCTGTCTTCTCTCCTGATGGGGATCTCTGTGTTTGGGGCCCCTCTGTGACTGTGGATCCCAAGACCTTACCTGTTGGGCCCTCCATGCCTGATGGGCAAGGGCTTCCGGGACAAGGGGTTTGCACGCAGGAGGCCTTTTCCTTAGCTCTCCTTCCCCTGGGCTCCACAGCTGACCGGTCCATGAGCAGCTCCTTGTCAGCCTCCCAGCTCCACACAGTTAACATGAGGGATCCACTGAACCGAGTTCTGGGTGAGTCCTCCCACCCCAGCTCCTGACATGGGGTCAGGCTGGAAGGGGGCCCTTGGTGCCCTGCCTCCTCTGCCACATCTCCCCGCCTCTGTCATCCACCTCTGTCCTCCACCTCCCCCCTCGCTAGGTCCCTGGCTTCCCAGGCTCCCATTTAGTGCCTCTTCTGACATGCCCTCGTTTTCCTTTTACGTTTCCTCTTTTTGACGTCCCCATTTTGGGGGATGCTCTTAGCACTGCTTTTTTCCCCCTTTTCAGTCCCACCCTCTCCCAGAGTCTAACCTCTTCTCAGACCCTTCTCATGGACTTCTCCTTCTGCCCCGTGCCCACACAGCCAACCTGTTCCTGCTCATTTCCTCCATCCTGGGGTCGCGGACTGCCGGGCCCCACACGCAGTTCGTGCAGTGGTTCATGGAGGAGTGCGTGGACTGCCTGGAGCAGGGCAGCCGCGGCAGCATCCTGCAGTTCATGCCCTTTACCACAGTGAGTGCTTCCGGCCGGCCGGGTGGGGTTCGGCGGGCCCTCCCTCGCCAGCGCACCCACCACGAGGTAGCCCGGTGAGCAGCTGTCTGTCTCTCTGTGGCAGGTCTCAGAACTGGTGAAGGTGTCAGCCATGTCCAGCCCCAAGGTGGTTCTGGCCATCACGGACCTCAGCCTGCCCCTGGGCCGCCAGGTGGCTGCCAAAGCCATTGCTGCCCTCTGAGGGGCGCAGTGCAGCCTCGGGGCCCCGCTGGGAGGGTCCTAGCCCCAGGCGCCTCAAAAGGGAACCCAGGAAAGATGAGACATCGTTGCTCATATTCACATGATGTAAGAGCCTTTGTTAGTTTCCAGGTTTTTCCCCGTCCCTGACTTCTGACCCTTAAGATGTCTCCCGTCTCTTTCATCATTTCCTCTTCCCGCTGCCTGTCCCTGGAGTGTGAGCGGCCTGGTTCCTTAGCTCAGGATGTCTCACCACACCACCCCCTCCTGCGCACCCTGCTCCTTCCAAGGGTAGGGTGCCTCTGAGGAACTGTGTGGGTGCGGAGTGTGTGTCCGTGTGTATATGTATCTTTTTTAACGTTTGATAATATACGAGGGGGGGTGTTCACCTCAGCTCACTAGTAAATAAAGATCCTGTGGCTCCCTCTGTAAGTGCCGGCTGGTCTTTCTGACTGGGCGGGCAGTGTCTTCTCCTGCGGTCCCCGGAGAGGCTCCTGCTGGGGTCGAGGGAGAGAGAGGAGGGCTGGCCCTAGGGTCCGTGTTTGTCCACTCAGTCAGGGCAGGGAGGACAGTGGGAGCAGCTTCCCTTCCTCAGACCCATGTTGAGTGATCATGAGTCAGTACTGGCCCACTGCCTACACCCCCCTCAAAGTGAGACTTATCTGCAAAGGGTGAGGTTATGGCTAAAGGCCCCACTGGCGTTGGGGTAGAGTGTCCTGTTCTGATGCTCCCCAACCCAGACCAACCCCACCCAGCATGTAACTAGCCCAGAGTTTGGTCTGTCCCCCAGAAGAGCAGGGGGGAAAGGGGGGCAGGACCTTTGTGAACCCTGCCTTGCCTGCTCCACGCATCGTTGAGTCCGGTCTCTTCAGGACTGACCCGAGAGGGGGGCCCCTGAGCCACACAGCTGGGAAGTCCAGCTGGCTTGGCCAGACCCTGCTTTCTCAGGAGCCACGTGCAGAAGGAGAGTGAGAGGTGGTGAGGATATGGGTGCCTCAGGAGGAGAAACGGGGGACTAGTTGGCTGGCTGGGTTTCCCGGGTCTGGTACAAGCACCTGGGACCCACACGTGCACCTCGAGCTGAGGGCCAGAGCGGTGTGCCTCCATGTGATGTGAGGCAGCCCCTCTGGTCTCCACCTCTCGCCCCCACCATGAGCTCAGCCTTCCAGCACAGGCGCTGAGACTGCTCCCTGCAGGCCAGAGGCAGAGCTGGGCCAGGGGAGAAGCACAGAGCCTGGGACCGAGTTCTGACCCCTGTGGTCACCTTGACTCAGCTTCCTAATCTGTGCAAAGTGCTTCTTTTTTTATTATTTTGTTGTTGTATTGTTAATCCTCACCGGGGGATATTTTTTTTATTGACTTTATTTTTTTTTAGAGAGAATGTAAGAGAGGGAAGGAGAGAGAGAGAGAGAAACATCAGTTTGAGAGACACCTTGATTGGTTGCCTCCTACACGACCCTACCTGGGAATGAAACCTGCAGTTCAGGTGCCTGCTTTTGACTGGGCAGTGAGCCCACAGCCCTTTGGTCCAAGGGCCTAACCGCTGTGCCAAACCGGCCAGGGCTACAAGGTGCTTCTTAATTCCATCATCGTGGGCGCCTGTGAGGTGGAAGACGGCCACCTGACCGGTCCTGTGCAAGCATTGAATGTGTCTGGACTGTTGGTTCTCCCCCAGCTCCACACTCCTCTCTTGGTAGTGGCGTCCCATCTGCCTCCCGTCTTCCCACGAGGTTGTGCTCCGCGAGGGCAGGGCCAGGCCCGCCTTGCACACGTGTGCCTAGAACTTAGCCCAGTCTCTGCAGCGTGGGTGCCAGATAAACACATGCTAACGGAATGAGTGCTGATGAACCAGAGGACCGCCCCTCCCTACACCTCCCCTCCCGCCCTCTGCCCTTGACCACCATTCAACTCCCTGCCCCCCAGCCCCTGGCCACGCACCAGCTGGACTCAAGAAGGAGGAAGAACATTTATTTACTGGAGATAAATACTTTATTAACATGAAGTTTGGCTACAATAACAGAGTGGGAGCAGAGGCAGAGAGCGAACAGTTGAGCTTCCTTCTCACCCAACATGAAACCCTCTTATCTTTTCCTGCCCACGTTTCCATCCCCACCCAGCAGGCAGATCCAGGACTGTCTGCCCAGCCCTGAAAGGAGTCAGAATACTGACCCTGGTAGGGGTGGTGTCACAAGGCTGTGGGTGTCTCAAGACTATGGGTGTCTCCATAGGGCATCCAGAAAAAATGACACTCCATGGGTGTCAAAACATGCCCCAAAAAATCTTAAAAAGAAAAACCAGATTTTCCAACAAATTGATGGGACCCCAGGGCCAACCCTCCCAACTCTGGCTGCCTCTGCTGGGCTTCCTGCCTGTGGGGAGGGGACGTGAGGGAAAGCAAGGCCTGGCATCCACAAGCCAAGTTGAGGCCAGAGGAAGGGAGGGATGTGAGGACCCAGCTAGGGAACATTGCTGTTTAAATATTAAACAGGGCTGTTTTGTCTCCCACACGGGAGATTTTCTGATGCTTCCAAGGGCCCCAGGTTGGGTACCCTTGGAGTTGGGGGCTCACTGCAGCTCTTCCCAGTGCCCTCAACAGTTACAGGAATTAATACTTGGTATTTACCTATCTACCTCCCAGTCCAGGGGACAGGAAGACAGGAGCTTTTCTCTCTGCTACAGACAGGAGAATGAAACTCAGAGGTGGAGGGAAGGACCCAGAATCTGAGGCTCCTTTCCACTCTTCCCTGTCTTTAAATACTAGGTTTAAATAAACATAAATATTAAATAGAGATAAATACATTGGGTGGGTACAGTTTTGCTCAAGGCTCGGCTAGGTAGCGCAGAGCACGGTAAGCCAGCTCCAGGAAGCTCTGCAGGCTGGAGGCAACCAGGACACCTCCTGCCCTGCGCTGGAAGGCCGAGGTGAAGATGGGCATGGTGCCCTGGGTGGCCTGCACAGCAGGGGCCGTCCCCAGGTCTTCCATCTGTGGAGGAAAAGACAAGATCAGCAATCAGGCCCTGCTAGTGGGTGTGGCTATCTCATGAGGAAATGCAGAAGCTTGTGGGCAGTGGAATGTCACAGGGTTAAGGGGGAGTCAGGACCTGAACCCAGGTCTGTTTCAAAGTCCAGTGATTCAACTAGAGGGAGTGTGGGAGGGCCAGAACCAGAAGGGTCCTGGGATGGGGTGGTAGCTCCCTACATTCAGCACCCCCACCCCCCAGAATGTTTCTACCAACCCCTAAAGAACTTCCAGGACCCCCAGGCTTCCAGGATGACCTTTAGGGACCAGCTCAGTCTAGACCTCTTAGCACCTGCTGCTCCCAATTGAGGCTCACCTGCTGCCAGATGTTGGTGGCAAAGTCGGTGATGTCCAGCTGCATCACGTCCAAGGTGGGGGCTAACTCGAGGGAGATTCCAGCCAGGGCCTCCAAGAGGCCCTGGTAGAGGTAGAGGCCACTGTGGAGTTGTTTCAGGCAGCCCATCTAGGGGAGACAAGTAGGAGAGTTAGGGGGTGCTGCCTGCGATGCTCCCCTCGGCCCCAGCTTGGGGCTGGAGCTGGGGGGGGGCAACCAGATCATCCTTCTCTTCCCCCCATCACTTTCCTCCCCTCCAGACACTCACCGGCTGCAGGGCCTGGCTGGAGCAACTGCTCAGGGAAATCTGGGGGATGCCCAGAGAGTGTCTAAGCAGCACCAGTTCCTCGGGGTGGCACAGCTTGTGGGTGGCACACTGGGCAAGAGAAGGATGCTGAGTGCAGGGGACTTGATAGAGCCAAACTGTTCCTCCCTATCTTTCTGTGGTCTTCCCCTCCCTCCATGTCCTGCCAGGCTCCTCAGCCCCATTCCACCCTTCACTTCCATCTCGGTCAACCCCTCCCTCCCAGCACTGTCCCCCAGGTGTTCTCATCCCCCAGTTTCTTCCCAGCCTTCGGGGCTCCTCTTCTCCTAACTTCCGTTCTTCCATTTCCCTGTGCCTCGCCTCTCCTGAGCTCCTTCCTGATGTCTCCGCCATGCTTTCCTTCCCCTCCCTCGGCTCTCCCTCTGTCCTCTTCTCTACACCTGCAGGGCAGCATCTGTGTCCCCTCCCTCGCTTTCTGCCAGCCCCTCTCACTCACCAGCCTTTCCTGCATGACCACGACATCAGCCTGGATCTTCCTCACTTGCTCTAAGCACTTGAGCATGAAGGTCTGGGGCAGGTTGCTGGCAGGGCCCAGGGGAGTGGCTTCTTGCACCGTCCAAAGTGCACTTTGCCAGAGAAGCAGCTGCAGGGCTGGGAGCAGATGGGGGCTCAGGAGACGCGCTGTCCACTCCCACCTGGGTCGCTTTCTGGGGACTTAGGGACCACCAGCCCCTAGACCACTCCAGCCTCCCTCCCACGCCCCAGGCAGGCACGTCTGGGGGATCCTGGGCAGGGACACTCACCCATCAGCTTCATGGGGCTCTGGGCAGCAGGCTCAGCAGGGTCTGGGTGGGTCTAGGCTCGGGGCTGTGTCAGGGACCAGCTCTGGAGGGCCTTTATACATAAACCCATAGAAGCCTGGGAGGAAATTACCTGCGACTAAGGCTTAGTAATAACTTCCCAGGATTTATGCAAATTTAGTGTCCAGGACAATGCGGGGGGGGGGGGGGGGGGCGGTTGAGACAAAAAGCTGTTTGCGAAAGTTTTGTGAAATTGTGGAATCTCTGATCCTTTGACGTCTTGCCCCCTAAACGCTCTTCCTCCCCTCAGCCCCACCCCGCCTGAATCGCCCCAGGATATTTGAACAGAAACTGCTGAACAAAGGCTGAGGCGCTGCAATGCGCCTGGGAGGCTGGAGTTGGGTCAGACTGACTGGAGAGTGGCAGACCTCCAGGCTGCCCCGCCCTCTCCCGGCAGATCTGTGGGCAGCTCCCTTTGCCACTTTCCCCTGGTATCATCAAGCCCTACCTGCTCCCTGCCCCCAAATTCTGAGAGGAAGAAGTAGTTGCCCCTGTTCCTACCCCTGAACTCCCACGAGGCTGCCTTCCTGGGTCCTCTCTTGAGGGGCCAGGGGCCTGGGCGAGGGACATTAGGGTCTTGCCCCCTGTTCCCACCCCACAGTTTGATGGCCATCATCCCAGGCTCCTGTCCTGAATTGGCTAGCTGGGAACTCCCCAATCCCCCCTATGACTCATTCCTTTAAGCCCCTGGAATTCTGGAAGAGACCAGAGGAAACCGGATGTGTGTCCCGAATGAAGCAAGACCCTTGGAGGCTCTGGGTTCACCTAACCCTTGCCCTTCCTCCTCCTCCTGCACTCCTCCTCCCTGAACAGTGCCCCAGGGCCTTGGAGTTGGGGGTCTGGGACAGGAGGCTTCCCAGGCAGGGTTCACTGCCAGCCAGTGTGTGCTGCCCTGAGGTGCAGAAGGGCTGGGGATGAAAAAGAAACTGCCCGGGCTTCGAATCTTCAAACCATGCAGTGTTGGCACTGACAGGGGCCTTGGAGTCTATTCCAACCCTGTGAACTGGGCCAGAGAGGGAAGTGCCTTGTCCACGGTTGTGGGTAGCAGTCAGAGTTACAACCTGGGCCTCTGCCTCTGGCCAGAGAGCTTTCCACGGGCCATGGGACCTACCCAGGGAAGTCTGACCAACCACACCCAAAGCTGTCCCAATTGACTCTGAAATGTGCCTAGGAACAGAGGCATCTGTCTTCACCTGAGGAGTGGGTGTGTCTCTTTGATGGAGGCCATCCCTTGGGCTGGGGTGCCCCCTGGTGGTCACAGCTGGCAGGGTCTTCACCTGCTGATCCGTTCACATCCTACCTCTGGTCCCCGCCCTGCGTTGAGGGTGCATTGGCCCCTGACTCTTCTTTCCGGTAGGCATTTGCCACCATGCACTGATTGAACCCAGTTTTGGCCCACCTCCATGGAGTAGAGGGCTAGGTTTAAAACTGTGAAGGGCAGGAAATTCACATGAACAAACACGGTCCCTAAAACCTCCAGAGAGCTCAGCCTGCCTTAGACTCTGCTGAATGAGCAGAGCACTTTCTATACATTATCGAATGCATTCCTTTCAACAAGCCTATAAGGAGGGGACTAGAAGCATTTTCTCTTTTACAGAAGACAAATCTGACCTCAGAGAGCTTAAGTAACTTGCCAAGTAGCAGAACCCAGGTCTGCCCTGTGCCCAAGTCTTAAACTCTTACCCATCAAATCTATTAACCAATGTTTGGCCTTCCTCACTCATGACCAGGCCAGCTCTAGACCCAGACTTTTATCTTTACCTGCAGTCCAAGTGTGTCAGATGTTTGGTTCAGAAAAATATGTGAACTCTGCCCAGCTGGTGTGGCTCAGTGGTTGAGCATTGACCTCATGGACCAAGAGGTCACCAGTTCAATTCCTGGTCAGGACACATGCCCTGGTTGTGGGCTCAATCCCCAGTGTGGCGGCATGCAGGAGGCAGCCAATCAACGTGTCTCTCTCAATGATGTTTTTATCTCTCTCTCCCTCTCTCTCTAAAAATCAATTAAAATATATTTTAAAAATATATGTGAATTCTAACAAGAATGGCCAGAATGGTGAAAGGACTCAAGATCATGATTTGAAGAAAACAGGCTGTTTTGTCCGGGGAAGAGAAGGTGGGGGGTTGTGTGGTCTCAAGGTCTAGAAGGCAGATGGGGTGGAGGCCACAGACAGCCGGTTTTCAGCTCAACAGAAAGACACCGTTCCAATGGTCTGAGATGTTGGAGGGTGGGGTGACCTGCCATCCCGGGAAGTGTTATGGCATTCATTCCAGAGGGAGAAAAATCTGAATGTTGGCTGGCAATTATATGCCAGGCACCTTCCATTACACTTTTGTCATTTCATCCTGCCAACCGAGTGGTAGGGTATGGTTTATTATTATTAAAACAATTTTTTTTTCTATATTGATTTTAGAGAGAGGAAGGGAGAAAGAGAAAGATAGAAACATCAATTGGTCACCTACTGCATGCCTCCCACTGGGGACTGGGCCCACAACCTAGGCATGTGCCCTGACCGGGAATCGAACTGGTGACCTCTTGGTGCATGGGTCGACGCTCAACCACTGAGCCACACACCAGCTGGGTTAGGGTGTGGTTTATTCTCCTTATAGACAAAGGACAACCTCAGAGAAGCGAAGGGCCTTGCCCAACATCACTGTCAGTGGCAGAGCCAGGCAGATTTGCTTCCCAAGCCTCTGTGGCTCCCATTACATTACCTTCCTGTTCAGATAGCTGTACTTCTTGGATAATGGCTCTATCCAGACTCCTGCCCAACTTAGGGGAGAGAGAGAGAGAGCAAGAGCTTGTTACTGGCCATGATACACAAAGGCTGAGAGCAACCAAAACGATCTTCCGGTAAAGGTTCTGGCTCCAGAGGCCCCGAGTTGTTCATCCTTCTAGCTTCTGAAAGGCTTCCCCAGGTATTTCTCAGTGTCCAGAACTGGTCGGCCACTTCCCCTCACACTTCCTGTTTTCACCCGGCACTGGGCTTGGAGCATCTTCACACAAGCTCTGGAGCAACTCATTTGTTGCAGACTTGGCCAGTGGGCCAAGGTATGTACATCCTGAGTTAAGAATGGGTTTTCCATTTTTAAATGATTGGGGGAAAAATCAAAATAATATTTCAAACATGTAAAATCATATGAAATTTAAACCCCAGTGTGTTCCTAGATAATGTGTTTACATATTGTTTATAGTCCCTTTCAAGAAGTGAGTAATTGTGACAGACCACTTGGCTCACAAGCCTATATCTGGCCCTTTAAGAAAGTTTGCAAACTGTGTATACAGTAACATGTGTGCAAGGAGATAGGCCGAGATCTCCTTTGCAGCATGGCTTGTAATAGTAAACAGATGCTCACCAAGGGAATGGCTAAATAAATCCGTACCACATATGCCTCCCTGCCCCCCCGCCCCCTTCCATGGGGAAAGGAGTTTGTTTTATTCCATTGTCTTCTCAGTGCCCGGAAACAGTGCTGGGCTCGGGTATCAACAAAATTAGACCTCAAAACCAATATTGAGTGAAAAGAGCAAGTTACGTTCAGGTGATACGTCATTTACAAAGATTTAAAGACTCAAAACAATACTACATTTTGTAGTAAAGGTGTAAAAACATAAGCTGGAAGGCTACCCACGGAATTTATCAGAGTGAATGCCTCTGGGGAAGGAAGGGAAGGGCCTGGGAATGAATACGATGGGCTTCTAATTCATCTATAATATTTTTCTTGGATTAAAAAGTTGAAACAGTAACAAAATGCTAACAACATTTATTAAACTTGGGTGGAAAGTACATGGGTATTGTGTTATTCTTTTGTGTTTTTCTGTATTGTTCCAATTAAAAAAAACAAAACTGGAAGATGAACACAGTGAGCTCTTCAAGCATAAAAATGGCACGATACTGCTCCAGGGAAAGAAAGCCAAGCTGATGGGGATGAATTTCAAGAGTTCCAGACAGCTGAGCAGACAGAACAATGCCAAGGTGAGCGAGAACCAGGAAATCATGGCGAATGATCCCAAGTCATTTGAGGTTGATACCCTGTCCAATCCAGTACCAAGTAAGAAAGGGTCTGAGGCACTTTGGGCTAGGCGCACTTTAAGATTTATAAACAGTTGTGAGGTTGGGCATCATCAGGAATAAATTTATTTATAGAGACATGTTAAGCAGGTAAGAAAGAGCCTTGGGCAGTGGCATCTGTCCTCTGTATACAAGTCCCCTTATCAGACACTCAAAAAGGAAGTCACTTTTCTAGGTCAGGTAAAGTGATCAAGGGCCAGGACAGCCATGTGGGGACAAAAACTAAGCAGCGAGATGACAGAACCACAGACAGGCTGGAAGAAGGCAGAACAGGTTGACAGAAAGTAACCCGATCTTGGTATCCTGCAGAGCAGTTCACTTCCCACTAAGCCTGACCTGGCGTCCCTGAAGGATACTCAGGGATGTTCAGCATTAGTCCCCCACCCCATTCTTCATGGAAGGGAATTAAAGATCTATTAGATTTTTTTAAAAAAATCTTTACCTGAGGATATTTTTTCCATTTATCTTCAGATAGAGCGGGAGGAAGAGAGAGAGAGAGAGAGAGAGAGAGAGAGAGAGAGAGAGAGAAACAACGCGAGAGAGACACAGTGATTGGCTGCCACCCACAGGAACTGCAACTGAGGTATGTGCCCTTGGCTGGAATCAAACCCGGGACTCTTTGGTCCATGGGCCAACGCTCTAACCGCTGAGTCAAACCAGCCAGGGCTTTTTTTTTTTTTGCAACAAAGAAAGAGGAGGGAAGATCTATTAGATTTTTGAATTGGCTTATAAAATGGGGAAGGGATTGGAATCCTCAAAATAAAAATTTGGGCCCTGGCCAGTTTGGCTCAGCAGTTAGAGCGTCAGCCTGCGGTCCAGAGAGACCCAGGTTTGGTTCCTGCTAAGGGTGCGTACCTCGGTTGCACTTTGTCTCCGGCCCTGGTTGGGTCATGCAGGTGGCAGCCACTCAATGTGTCCCTTTCACATCGATGTTTCTCTCACTCTCTCCTCCTCCCACTCTATCTGAACCAAAAA